TCTACCACACTTATGCTGTGTGACCCTGGGTAAGTGAACAGTCCTCTCTGGGCCTCAGGTCCCTTACTTGTAAACCAGCATCATGAAATCTATCTCTGAGACTGCCACAGGAAGTTCAGTTCAGGCACTGAAAGCCCTTCCTGTGTGGCAGTTGCTCGCGAAACTGTTGGCTGTTAGTTAGGCTGCAGCTATGGGAGGAACGCTCACTGGAGCTGGTGCAGAGAACAGAGAAGCCACCCCTCCGCCCCTCCCTGGTCACTGAGGGTGTAACCTAAAATGCAGAGCTGGAAGTAGGCTGTGTGCCATCCATGGGTACTATAAATTTGTCCCCAAAACATTTAACATTTAGAAAAACAAATTGCTGACTTTCAAGTGTTGGAAAATTCATAGAAAATGCCAAATGTCCACCTTTCTCCTCCAAATAGGAAAACGGGGCCACACTAGGCCCCATGTCTGCAAGCCTGGCAATTTCTACCCCTCTCAAGGAGGCTCTGGCTCTGCAACTTGCCACAGTCCCCACTGCTCCCTCCTGTCGCATGCACACCGACAGACTCACTTCTGGTACAGATCACAGTGGGAACAGTGGGTACAACAGCTGTCTCAGCTCCTCTTAAATCTCACTGTTGCTCTCCTGTGGGCAAAGCACCCTCTCTCCCCTTCAGTTCCTCTGGGAATGTCTGAGGTACCAGAGCCTCACCCTGCTGGCCCTGCCTGGCTGGGGTACAGGTGACCCAGGCCAGCCTAAGACCAGGCCACCACTGCCCAGCAGCAGCTCTGGGCGGGAGGCAGGCCCTGGCCTCAGCTGGTTTAGCTACTAGCCAAAAGAGCCTTGCTTGGAAAGCCCCATGTTCCTCTGTCAGAAAAATTAATCAAAATGACACCTCGTGAACAAGATGCCTTGGCTCCTGAACCAGATGTTTTGGCTCAGCAAAAAACAAACAGTGGTTTACAACAAATTAGCCTGTCCCACGCCTCTGGGCACGAGGGCCAAGGGGAGAGCCAGTACAGGCCAAGGGACACCTGCTGTAGCCTCCTGTGAGGTTCACAGCTCCAACCTGGCTCACATAGACAGGAAACCATCTTCAGACCGAGGCCCTTGGTGTTCAGGAGCTGCTGCTCTGTCCTCCTCTGCAGGCAACAGGGCTTGTTCAGGGACCTGAGCCCCACGCAGCCTCTGGTCTCTCCTGCCAGTAAACAAGGGCACAAGATCCCTGAGGGGCTCAGGGCCAAAGGAGATGATTCCAGTGAGGAAACGCCTAACTGAACCCGGCAGCTTGGAGGGTGCCCAGGTTCCCAGCTCTGCTTTCAAGTTCAAGACTCTGCAAGATGACTGCCTCCATAGCTTAGCCACTCACCAGGCAGGTCACTCCCTGCCACTTCCCTGACCTGGCACCCTTCCACTCTCCCCTCTCACTCGCCAGCCCCCACTGGACGTCCTACCAAGGCTTGGGCACCAAGCACAGGTGCACGCTCAGCCTTTCTTGCTTGCAGTTCCCCTGGAGGGTACACCCTTCCCTCTGAGTTCACACTACCTCTGGCTCTTCATCCTGCTTTCACTTCCCCCGCCCTTCCACAGACATCCCGACTCCCTCAGACCAGGCCAGGGCTGCCTTCTGGAAATAGCCATCCATGGAATCGTCAGGCTTTGTCACTGTCATATTCTCCCACAAGTCACAGCTCCCAAGGAGACGTGCCATAGATAAGAATGAGGGCTCATCTGCCAATGCCCAGCTAAGTGACTTGGAGTAAGGACATTTAACTTCTGTGTGACTTGGTTTCCTCCCTTGTAAACTGGGCATAAAACCAACACCTTCCTTGTAGGGGGTTGTAGGATTGACAAGTTGAGCTCCACAGAGGGGCTGGCCCTGTGGCCCCTGCCTCCCCCCACCATGCTCACTGCCCTCCACTCAGCACTGAGGGCCGAGTCTGTCCTGGGCCACTCTGGATTTTCAGACCCTCCAATGTTCTTGAACTCTGTGCTAGGACCCCCACCCCAACTGATCCAAACAAGTTTCTAGCCTGCAGAGCTGCTCCTGGCCTTGCTGTGACTCTGACAGTTCTCCAAGGCTTCTGGGGACAAAGCCGGGCCATCACAGTCATCAGCTCAGAAATCTCACAGGTGGGGCCCGTGGCAGCGGAAGGGGTGCAGCTCTTGGTTCAAAGCTTGGCACATGGTAAGAATCAATATGCAAGTGTGATTGAAAGTCGCCCTTTGATGAGGCGTGGCCAGGAAACACGGGCTTCTGTGCCAGGAAACAGACATAGCTGGCTGTGGCTAGGCCTGTGGGCCAGGGCTCTGCGCTGCCTCCCCTCTGCAGACTGCAGGCTTGAAGGCAAGGGAAGAGGCCTGGCTTTAGTGGGACCTGTAGAGGTGGTGCACAAGTGTCTACAGGCCACCTTTGCCAAGGCGCCCTCCCAGGCCAGCCCAGGCCACAGAGCCATGGTCCACATTCAGTTGAAAGGTGGGGTGGAAGTCTGGGATTCCTATGCTGGGGTGGGGGCAGGGAACTGCTGGGAGCCCGGGGCCCACTGCCCCCCACCCTCCCTGGGCCTCCCCACAGCAGCTGCAAAGTAAGGAAGAGGTGGTAACCTGGGCAGGTCAAGGTTAGAAGAAACAGGGACCGGCTTTCTCCTGCTCCCCCACTGTTGTCCAACTGATGAAGAAGACAAGGGTAAAAACACCACCCAGAAAAGCTGTTGTGAAGACAGGCTCAGGATAGGCTGTGGACAGTCCCTCTGGGGGTTGGGACAGGGGAGTGGCACGGCCCACCCACAGAGGCAGAACCTCTAGCATTCCTGTGGGGCCCTGTCCCACCCCTGCCCCTGCACTGCATGGAACGCAGGGGCAGAGGGGACAGTGGGGGCAGGGAGATGGTCTTAGGACAAGAGGAGATAGAAGCCAAGGAGGAAAGCCAGCCGGCATAATTGGAGGCTGGGACCTAGATTCCCACTGTGTGTGCATCCCTGGAATGTCCCTTGGGAGCCAAGGGGTCCTGTGGGAAAAAGTAAAAGAGATACTGAACTTCTGGGGACCACGTCCTCTTGGAGCCCTCAGGCCTTAGCTGGAGTGACACAGAAGCACAGGGAAGAGGGCTGGGTATAGGTCCTGCCCCTAAAACCTCAGCCCTGCCACTGACAGCATCATCACTGGGGCATGGCCCCTGCAGAGTGGCCCCAATTTAGGCCAGATGCTCATCACCCTAGAAGGCCCCTCCAGCCTGTACCTGGGGTGCAGTGACAGCCCCAGACACTGGCTCTGTACATGAGTGTGCATACGCTCATCTCGCTGCTTCCCCCAGAAGTCCTTTTGGGGCAGAATCACATGGTGGGGCTGCTGGGTGACTCACCACCCCTGGTTGGACGTGCTTCCTGGGACAAGTCCCCACAGGTAGGCCCTGAGCCTTTCTGAGAGTTTGGTGGTTGTGAGAGGATGCAGATCCCGGCATGCCCCAGCCTCACCCTGAGGATCCCACAACAGGAATGGAGGGGCTCCCACAAGCCCAGGCCCCCGTCCAGTACTGACTGCCCTCTCCAAGCCACCCCTGCACCTGGGAACGCCTCTGCAACCTCATGGGGGACAACCAGAGGAGACAAGGGCTTGGCAGAACCCACTGCTGGGACCCTTGCTGCAGATGTGAGCAGGGGCAGGGTCCTCTGTCCTTTCTCCCTCTAAGGTGCCTTGGCAGCCATCAGGGGGCAGAGGCTGGGCTCATAACTAGAGAGAAAGGACGACAAAGAGAGGCTTATAATTCATTGTCCCTGGAAGGCAGAGATGGGAGTTGTCTGGAGAGGGGCCTTCCCAGAGGACTCCTCACAGGAGGTGGCATTTACTTGGGTTCTGTGGGATCAATAGGAGTTTCTGTACTTTGAGATCTGTGAGGTCACAGCCCAGCTCTTATTGGCCTCTGGAAGCAGGCAGGTGAGCGGCAGGTATCCCAGACAGATGTGAGCCAAGATGGAGCCAATCAATCGTGGAACTGGGCTTGGGACTGGAGAGTGAAGGCCCAGACATTGGGAATTTCCACTCCTCTCTGTCAAATGGGATAAGGGTGCACAGTACCTGAGAAGGCCGGGAAAGCCCATGAATCAGTGCACTTAAACGGCCACTGTGGTTAGAAAATGAGCCCATGTGACAATACAGTGTCATGAGAACGTGGAGTGGGCAGGGTGGGACAGGGCTCTAAGCAGCCTTGCCACTCTGGGCCCAGGTCCCCAGGAAGGACCCTTCTCTCCCCAAGCCTCCTCTCCTCACCTAGAAAATGTGAGGCAGAGGCTGTGAGAGTCAGGGCCCCTCAAAGCAGCGCAGGCCACAAGTGCAACAGAGCCACAGAGCTGACGGGAGCCCTGAGTGTGGGGACCAGCAGGCTCCCAGCAGAGGCTCAGCGCTGCTGACAGGTGGGCCTGAGATCCCTGCATGGGGCATCCTGGGTGTCGTGGGTGTTTATGAGCATCGTGTGCCCACCCATGACAACCCAACTGTCTCCAGAAGGGGCCACTGTCCTTGACTTTGCATCAGCAGAGGGTAAGCTGGAAAGATGAGGGTCTCCTCCATGGGGTCTAGCCTCAGTGTTTTTATAGGTAAGAAGGAATAGTGGTCCTTCCTTGTGGGGTCATGGAGGTCCCAGGACAGAGGAGACGTGGGAGAGAAGGCTTTGCAGGCTGGATGCCCCCCTCCCAACTCCTGCTCAGTGTGAGGCTGAGCTGTGGACCTGGAAGGAGCTGTCAGGAATCCTGGCCACGGCTGTCACCATTATCCTCAGGTGTGCACGGAGGACAGGGGCTGCTTCTGTCCACTATGGCCACCCGGATGGACCACAGTATCTGGCAACGCCTAAGTGGATGCGTTTGCAAGTCGGGACAGCGAGACCTGAGGCCCAGGGTGAGGGGACAGGTGCAGAGATGGCACCCTTTGACCCCGCTGGTTTCCTGAGTCATCTCCCCGCTCTGGGTCTGGAGGGGATCAGGGCCTTCAGGTCCCTGCTTCTTGGGTAGATACTCACATTCCGGAAGGAGGGGAGCCCCGCGGAGCCCAGCCACCGCCGCAGGGCCTGTGGGAAGGCGCCACACTCCTGCTCAGCCCGCAGCACTTGCTCTTCCAGGAAGGCGGCGTGGTGCCCCACCATCTTGACGAAGGCCTGGTGGGGAGACAGAGGGCCATGAGGTCACACCACCGAGCTGAGAGCATTCCTGGTGGGGTCCTTGGCCGGGACCCCATCTTAATCACTACCTCCAGGCTCCCTCCACCCAGATCCCTCCTGCTGGAGATGCCTGGCGGGGAGGGTCTGCATACTGAGGGGGCCTCAGACAGCTGACAGCAACAACGACAGCCACCACTGGCAGTCTTCCCAGTCCATGCTTGTCCCACCTTCTCCCCCAGGGAACCTATTTTTAACCTCCAGTTTAGAGAGGAAAGCAACTGAGGCTCAGAGAGGTTGGGTCACCTAACCAAAACTACATAGCAGGAAGGGGTAGAAAGATGCAAGGCACATCTGTCAGATTTCAAAGCCTTCTTTTACTGAAAAATATTTTTTTGTGTGGTACTGGGGTTTGAACTCAAGACCTCACTCTTTCTTTTTGCGGTACTGGGACTTGAATTCAGGGCCTACCCCTTGAGCCACTCCACTAGCCCCATTTTGTGATGGGTATTTTTGAGATAGGGTCGTGTGAAGTATTTGTCCGGGCTGGCTTCGAACCGCGATCCTCCTGATTTCTGCCTCCTGAGTAGCAAGGATTACAGGCGGGAACACGGTACTCAGCCAAAAATGGGTTTTTTAGAAATCACCCAAGTTCTTATTTCACCAGCTGATGTACAGTGGAACTCACAAGTCACTAGAGGCCAGGCGGGAAGCATGCAGGTGGAGAGGGCTGAGAGGGAACCCCAGAGAAAGGTCACGCTGACCGTGGCTCCACAGGACCACCGAGCTCCAGGCCTCAAGCGCACAGCTTCAAAACCAACCTCTGTTGTTAGACTCTCTGGATTACAGTCCAGGGTCTGCCACTCACCGGTGCTGTGCCTTTGATCGATTACTTAATTTCTTAGTCTCAATCTGTGTGTGTGTGTTGCTGGGGATTGAATCCAGGGCCTTGCAAATGCTACCACTGAGGTACATCTCCAGCCCTTAGTGTTTTTTTTGTTTGTTTGTTTGTTTGTTTTGTTTTGGTAGTACTGGGACTTAAACCCAGGGCTTTGTGCTTGCTAGGCAGGCGTTCTATTGCTTGAGCCATGCCTCCAGCCCACAGCTCTTGGTTTTTTGAGACATGATCTCACAATATAGTCTGGTTAGCTTCAAACTTATAATCTTCCTGCCTCTGCCTCCCCAGTGCTGGGATTACAGGCAAATACCACCATGCCTGTCTAGCCTTGTTTTGTTTTTAAATCTGTAAAATGTGGATAATTAATGCTAGTCTCGTTAGGCAGGTTCTGTTCTCAGCACCGATTAAGAGCTTATCAAATGCTATTGTTTTAGAAAGAAAAAACATTCTGATTTTGGGAAATCTTCACTTTTATCAATGCTAGCAATAAATCCACACTGTTTCAAATACCATGCAGGCCCAGAAAAACCCCACAACCATTTGCAACCTCCTGTGTCTTTCAGGAGTGAAATGGAAAGACTGAGGAAGCAGGAACGGGCATGGGGACAACTCATGGCAGTGCACCCAGGAAGCCTCCCCCCACCAGAAGGAAACAGGGTTCTCCCATACCCACCAGACCACTGCCACCCAGCCTACCTCTCCCCCTTGCCCTGGGTTCCTCAAAAGAACCCAGCCTCCGCAGGACCTGCCTGCAGCACCTTCTCCCCGTCTTCACGGGGCGGCCTTGTTGTCTTTTAGCCCTTGGACTAACTGTTTCCTCCTCAGAGGCCCTCCCTGACCACCTGATCTGACACAGTCCCTGAGTCACTGGAGGGTCACCCACCTTCCTTGTCTTCATGATCCTTGAGGCAATCTGAAATTCCTTGTCTTTGTGTTCTCAGTCAGCCTCTCTCAGAGTGCGAGTTCCGCATGGGAGGAAGTCAGTGAGGAGTGAGCAGAGGAGTGACATGTCCTCAGCAGAGACACCGTGCGAACCCAGCATGGTGGCGTCGGCTATGCACCAGCTGCTCTGGGGTGCTGGCCACAGCAGGGCAGGACAGATGGTCAGCTGCCACATGGTAAGTGTGTGAGCACATGTACATGCATGTAGGTATATGTGCGTGCCCACGAATGCCAGGTGTGTATGACTGCCTGTGTATGTGTACACGTGACAGCATGAGTGTGCATGCGTGCACGCTGTGTCTGTGAGGTGCCAGTGTGAAGTGGCTTTAGACAGGACTCAAGGTCCAGAGCTTGGGTCACCTGGACTGGCACAGCAGGCAAGTCCTAATCGCCACTTCAGTGGACTTCCAACTTCGCAGCTGCAGTGCTGACCTGGATCTGGTGGGGAGCGAGGTCTCAAGGACCAAGCCGAGGCTGCTTGTCTGTCGGTCCACAGGCTGGGCTGGGGGCAATGAATGTCCACCACTCATACGGTGGTCTCCACTGTTCCCTGTGGTAAAAACGAGCCCCTCTTAGGGCAGCTGTAAGAGGCAGAGGGAGCCCGAAGTCTGTGATGTGTTTCCCAGAACCAAGAAAGTAGGCCACTTCTGCCAAGACCCCAGCCTCAGCACAGGCTCTTGCTAGAGGGGCCTTCAGCACCGAGGGGCAGACCTGCAGCCCCGTCCTGCTACCTTGCCTGGGCGACAGTGGGTGAGGAACTTCTCTGTGGGCCTCAGCCTCTGGGTTTTTTTTTTTCAGTACTGGGGTTTGAACTCAGGGCCTACACCTTGAGCCACTCTACCAGACCTTTTTGTGATGGATTTTTTTTGAACTAGGATCTCACTAACTATTTGTCCCTGGCTGGCTTTGAACCACAATCCTCCTGATCTCTGCCTCCTGAGTGACAAGGATTACAGGCGTGAGCCATCAGTGCCCAGCTCAGCCTCTCCTTCTATAACACTGGCCACCACTCCTGGGGTCCCGTGGGGCTGGAGGGAGTCTCCACGCCATGCCCCACAATCCTGCTCAGAGCAGGTGCTCGGCAAATGTCAGTGTTTTTGCACGAGGCGACACAGGGCCACACACTGGCCTGAGAGGTCACCTTGGGGTTTCTGAGTCTGCACTTAGCAAGTCCCACTGATTCTGAGAGCAGGGAGCTCCTGCACTCTGTGAGAGTCACTGCCACGCTCCTCACCTGGGCTCCGCCAGCAGGGAGACGGTGACGTCATCCTAGTAAGTTCTGCCTTTCAGCCCACGGACAACTACAGCCACCACGATAACAGTTTGTCCTCGCCAAGCACCTACAACGTGCCAGGTGCTGGCCTAACACACGTCATCCTCAGGACTGCGAGGACTGAGGTGGGTTTCAGCTGACAGAGGAGCGTGAGTGAGTTCCCAAGGGCAAGAATGAGCCAGGCTGCTGGCTCTGGAATCCTCCTGCCCTGGTACAACGCCAAGTTCTCATCAGGTCCCCAAGTTCTTGTGTCTTGATGTCACACACTTCAGCTAGTAGGAAACAGACAATCCATTTGCCTCAAAATCCACAACCTTCATGGACTAACTCCCTACCCCTTTCCTTTTTCCTTTTCTTATTTCTTTGTTTGAGAGAAAAAAAAAAGCCCAGGCTATATAGTCCAGGCTGGCCTTGAATTCAATATGTAGCCCAGGCTGGTCTTGAACTTGTGATCCTCCTGCTTCAGCCTCCTGAGTGCTGGATTACAGGCATGTACCACCATGCCTGGCTCCCCACCCCTTTTCCACAGAGACCCAGGTGGGGAGAACCATTTCCTTACTCAGAAAAGCAAGAACATAAAGGTGTCCACTGAGCCTCACTGTGGGGAGACTCCAGGGAAGAGTGGGGACTATGACAGCCTGGAGATTCACAACCCATGGAAGGGGACAGCTGCCAGCTGCTCCCAGCAAGGACTGGGAGGCCCAGGGTTGGCCTCTTAGCAGTTCTGACTGCTATTGGCATCTAAGTTTGTGATCTCTGCTTAAAACTCAGAGTAACTGCTGCTAGCCAGGTACAGTTAGCTCACGCCTGCAATCCTAACTACTCAGGCTTGTAGAAGCCAGCCCGGGCAAATAGCTTGCGAGACCCTATCTCGAAAAACCCTTTAAAAAAGAGGGCTGGTGGAGTAGCTCAAGGTGAAGGCCCTGAGTTCAAGCCCCAGTACTGCAAAATAAACAAACAAACAAAGAAAACTCGGAGTAATTGCTGCTGGGAGAATGAAGTGGTGCAGTAGTTTGGAAAACAGTTTGGAAGTTCCTATTCCTCTCCTAGGTGTTCACCCCAAATAAAAACACATATCCACACGAAAACCTAAGCACAAATGGCCCCAAAGCAGAGCGACCCAAATGCTCACCACCTGACGAGTGGCAAATCAAAGACGATGTGCCCATGTAATAGAATATCACCCGACCATGACAAAGAATGGCTTTTTTTTTTTTTTTGATAGGTCTTGCTAGGTATCCTGGGCTGGCCTCAAACTCACGATCCTCCTGCCTCTGCCTCCCAAGTGCTGAGTCTGTAGGCGTGCACTCCCAAACCCAGTTCGGAAAAGTTCCGATGTATGCCGTGATGCGGATCAACTTGAAAACACGGGGGCTAAATGAAAGGCGTGAGCCCATTGTATGAAATGTCCAGAGCACAAGACATGAGACAAGAAGCAGATTTGTGGTTTTCAGGGGCTGGGGAATGATTGCTAACGGGCTGGGGCTTCTTCTGGGAAAATGGTCTGGAGTGAGCTAGTGGTTGTACCACCTCGTGGCTATGCCCCAAGTCCTCTGAACGGGGCACTGATACGGTAGTCCTGCCTTACCTGTGGGGATATGTTCCAAGGCCCCCCATGGATGCCTGAAATGTGGTATACACAGGACTAGTACGTATCCTAATTTAATAAATTAGGTACAGTAAGAAATTAGCGATAATAACCGATAATAAAATAGAATAATTACAATATACTGCAGTAAGTTATAAGAATTGTGCTGTCTCTGTCTCTCTCCCCTTCTCTCCCTCCTTCCCTTAAACCCAAGCACTGACATACTGCTGCATTTGATCTGATACCCAAATCGGCTACTAAGTGACTAATGGTGGAAACCATATACAGTGTGGACACGCTGGACGAAAGACAATTTACATCCTTGGTGGGACACAGGGGGTTTCATCACGCTGTCACATATGGCTTGAAATTTAAGACCTATACCTTGTTCCTTCCTGGAATTTTCCATGTAATGTTTTTGGACTGAGGTGGACCACAGCAACTGAAACCATGGGAAGTGACACTCAGATAAGAGGGGCTGTTGTAATTGATTGGGACTTTTCAAGGGGAAAATGCGCAGCAGCTGAAATCCCTTAGGTGGTCCTGTCACTCTCAGAGCAGGGTACGAACTCTTGGCCCAGGCCCTGTGCCACCAGCCATACACATGCCTGAGCTGGAATTCATTCCTGCTCACAAGTACCAATAGGTCTTGCTGTCCCAGCCACCAGGCCGTTGCACGAGCTCTTCCTCCCCAGCTCACCTCTCTGTGATTCAGGCCTTTACGCAAAGTTTGCTCCTGGAAGTGCTCCCTGTCCTCCTGCAGCTCAGCCCCAAAGCAGCTCCTCGCAGAGAGACCATAGAACCATCTCAGCTGAGCCCCAGCACTGGTCTCAGGATGGCCATTGGACAGCAGGGGTTTGTTGAATTCAATAAGGATTTGGGTCTGTCCTGTCCCACTCACTACCCCCAACATCTGGCAACATCTGGAGGCATGGGACGGGGAGGGAGAGGAGTTAATGGCTGCTGCTTAGCACCTAGATGTACGGAATGGCACATAACAGTGTTTTCTGATGCAAAGTGTCAGCAGCACTAAGGCTGGGAAGGCCTGTCCTGGCCCTGCACACCTGGCTGCTAGACTGCACTCTCTTCTGTGGCTTCCTTCTCAGGAGAAAGGCCACAGGAATTGGCCCTGGACAACTGGGCCCAGACAACCCACTCCTGCTGCTAATCTCTCCAGCCCCACTCTGTCATGTCCCCTGGGCCTGTCTTTTGGCCTCCTGGGTTAGCATCAATGTCACAACCTCCTTCCCGCCCCTGCAGAGATCTTTCTGACCCAAGGCCGTCCTCCTGCCCCACACTGCTGCCCCACCTCCCTTCACAGCACCTGCCTTGGGATTGTGGTTGGCAAAGTGATGGCCACTAAAGAGGCTCACGTCCCAAACACCAGGACCTGTGAGCACGGGACCTGTGAACACGACCTTTCATGCAAGACAGGTTTGGCAGATGTGAGGAAGCTAAGGCTTTTGGATGGCAGCTCACCTGATTATCCAGGTGGACCCAAGGATCCTCAAGGATCCTTCCAGGAGGGAGGCAGAGATCAGGTAGGATTGGATGACACTGAGCTGTGGTTTAAAAGCTGGAGGAAGCCCCTGGGAGCTGGGAAGGCATAAAACCAGACTCTCCCCAGACCCAAGGGGTCCCACCTGCCAACCCTACCTTTAGCCCATAAGGTACATTGTAGGCTTCTGACCTCTGGAGCTATGGTAATAGTTGTATGGTCAGACGAGTTGGCACACACCCGTCTGGAGTCCCAGCACCCAGAAGGTGGAGGCAGGAGGATCAAGAGTTCCCGGGCTACATAGTGAGAGCCGGTCTCAAAAGTTTTGATGTTGTTGAAAGCCACATTTCCGGTAATTTGTCACTGTGGCAACAGAAGGCTAAGACGGTGATGTGTGCTGAGCAGCTCCCTCGGCAGGAATGTGGTATTGCTGTGTCCTGGGGACAGCCCCACAATGGTTCAAAACCGGTCCTCCACACGTGCTGTGGACTGAGCGCCAGGAAAGACCTGGGCTTATGCCTGATTCAGCACTGGAGAGGCTGAATCAGGAGGATCATGAGTTCAAGATCAGCCTGAGCTATACCGCAACACCTCGTCTCAAGAAGGAATTATTAAATTTAAAACAAGAAAAAGAATTGGGCTTGACAGTTGGGGCCAACCCAGGCGCAGCAGAGCCAGCGCTACAAATCTTCACGTTTTCTTTCGTCTTTCAAACGAGTGGAATAAAATTTAAATGAATCAGCTATTCCAAGGGCAAAATTTTAATTATATCCCCGCTCCATTCTCTGCTGACGAGAATGTTAATTCCCGGCTAAGTCAGTGCTGACTGCCCCTCACGCTTCTGCTGTGGCTGCCCGCTGTGGCCAGTGACCGCGCTACAACCTTGACCAACTCCCAGCCTCTGGAGCCTCTGCTGCGCAAAGAGCCAGCATCGCAGGTCAACAGCCCCAGGTCAGGGAAGAGGCAAGGCTCCGGGATGCAAGTTGAAGTCCTGGCTTCAAGTGACTGTGCTGGGAGCCTGGGAAGGGGCTTACCTCTTGGAGCTTCTTTTCCTCATTTGGGAGACTTGGATGGGGAGGGAATCAGTTTTGCAGTGCAGTGAAGGGGAAACAGGACACCATGTGTCTTAGCCTAGTGTCCAGGTAAGTACTCCTGTGAGATAAGTCAGCAGTACGGCAACAGGGCACAGTGGGGACTGTGGCAAACAGGATGGCTGAGCACCTGCAGGGACAGCCACTGCTAGCTCTTTCCTGGCTCTCTTTGCTCTCGGGTGGTGCTGCAGGAATGCAGCCTAGAGCCTGGAAGGGCTTGTTCTCTTCTGATCGGGTCATGGCATGCAGGAAAACTCTCAGAAATTGATTACTTACAATGGTGCACATGGTGTAATTATACCTTGAAAGATAAACAGATCAGGCTAGGCACCGGGGGTTCATGCCTGTAATCCTAGCTACTTGGGAGGCTGAGATTTGGGAGGATTAAGGTTCAAGGCCAGCCTGGGCAAATAGTTCACAAGACCCCATTTCCAAAATAACCAGAGGAAAAATGGACTGGAGGTGTGGCTCAAGTTGTAGAGTGTCTGTTTGCAAGCTTGTAGTCCTATGTTCAAACCCCAGTCCCACAAAAATAAATAATAAACAGATTAATGTGGACCCAAGGTTATTCAGTGTTGCTGAATTTGCACAAGGTCCAAATTCCTATTTTTATCTAAAGGAGCTCAATTTTTAAATCTTAGAAACAAATTCTTGTTATTTTTTTAAAATGCCACCTGCATGTAGGTGCTCTCCCCCTTACACCACTCTCAAGGCCACATCAGCACCTGGAAGAGGGACAACAGCTGCCCTCGCCCCACGCACCTCTAGCTGGTCCACTTTGGCATAGACACCACGCATTTCCGTCACTTTGGCCTTAAGGAACGGGATATTTTCCTCCAAGATCTGTGATGTGTCACTTCGGATCTGAAAAACACAGCAGCTCATGAGGCTCTCCCCAGTCACCGTGTCCTCCCTCCTGTCCCGGGGTTGCCAGGGTCTGGCAGACCCTGCTGTTGGCCGAGAAGCTTGGAAGCAGCTGCCCAAGGATGGAGCCCCTGGTGGGACCAACTTCACCACCTCCAGGACCCAGAGCCACCAACTGTCACTCATTAAACTACAAATTAACCATTTCCCCCCAAACAGCAGCAGCAGGAGTCGAAAGCCAAGTATTGTCATTTGCTGAAGCACTGAACTGGAGTCGATGAAATGATGCAAAGTCTCTTTTCTCAACCAAAGCTGAGAGCTGGAGGTGTGGCTCAGTGGTAGAACACCTGCCCAGGAAGAGCAAGGCCTTGGGTTCAAGCCCCAGTACTGCCAAAATTTAAAAAAAAATCCAAATCTGCTGGGCACCGGTGCCTCACACCTATAATCCTAGCTACTCAGGAGGCAGAGATCAGGAGGATCGAGGTTCAAAGCCAGCCCTGGCAAATAGTTCTCAAGATCCTATCTCAAAAACACCCATCACAATAATAGGGCTGGTGGAGTGGCTCAAGGTGTAGGTCCTGAGTTCAAGCCCCAGTACCGCAAAAGAAAAAAATCCAAATCTGGATTCGATACTGCTAATGCATGCATGGTGGTCACCAACATGTCAACAAAGCCACAGGCTCCAAGGAGCTTCCCATACCCAGTATGGGGCAGGTGCTTCCTTGTGCCATTTCATTTAACTCTCAACTCCTTCTGCTTGCAAGGCTTGTGGACTTAGAGGCTACATCCTTCACTGCTGAAACCACAGACTCAGAGCCTAAGGACCGGTCCTCCTCCTTCTGTGCACGCGTGCACAGACATCTGTGTTCATGTCATCACTGGGCAGAGGAAGCAACCAAGCCATTTGGGAGAAGCCCATTTCCCAGGCTCCTCCAGGCCTGGCTCACTCTGTTTGGGAATCAGCACTTTCAGCCACGTGGGGACCGGGGACCACAGTTAGAGAAGCACCAGTGGGCACACCAGGATGAAGACTCAGACTGGAGTTTGACTTTAGTTCTGCCCACCAGAAGCTGTGTGACTGTGGGCAAGTTGCTGCCCCTGTCTGACAGTGGTGACACCATGATGGTCCCTCCTTCCCAGAATGCTGTGAAGGTGAAATGTTTAGTAGAGCGCTGGCATGGCAGCAGTTTGTTTCCTTCTGTGGTCTGCCTTGACCCTCCACCTCCCGGTATCCACGTCCCTGTGTCAGCTCCTTCCCTAAACACAGCAGGACCTAGTGTCCGAAGTCTAAAGTAGAGGAGCCACTGAAGCGATGAGACATCGCCTCTGGGACAAGATGAGAGAGGCTGTCACCTCCATCTCACTAGTGTGTTCCCTGGCTGCCTCACACACGGATGCACTCCCCACCCCCCTGCCCTGCAGGTTGCTGGCTGTGATGAGGCAAGGTGCCTGTAAAACTCCCTCGGCCCAGCACCCACAAGGAGCTGACCCTGTGTTGGCCTGGACACGGACCATCATGGCTCCTGCCAGACCCTGAGCCACAGGCCCAGCGAGGTGGTGCTTGGACTCCTGACCCTGGAAACCAGCACATCACAAACACCACTGTTTTCAGCCACTCATCGGATAACCTGTTATGCAGCAGGAGGTAACTAACACAGGGTGACTACGCAGAACAAGAGTTTAATTTAAAAATGTTTTGGGAAACTGCACCTGCTCTTCCTCCTCTTTCTGCCTAAGTACAGGACACACCTGAGGTTCTCATGGACATCTGTTCCCTCTGCCCTTCAGGGTGACCTCCTGCTAGCCCTGGTCTTTCCGAAGCCTCTTCTGTCCCTCCCCGGCTCTCAGCCCAGCATCCTCAGGGTTACTCCACAGTGCTGTATTATGTGAGCCACAGCCCCAGCCCAGGGACATTCCTTTCTCACATCTTGATCTTGCAACCCGAGGCCCAGGTCAGAGGCCCAATTAAACAGGCAAGTAATGGTATAGAACAGAGAGAGGTTTATTAATTGTCCAGAGTGTGCACAGAAGAGGGAGGGGAGGGGCAGATGTGTGGTCAAAGATGGGTCAGGCACAGTCTTGTCATGATAAGAAAGTCATTGTTACCTGGGGGGCAGATTTGACTGTCGTCAGATGTTTGTCCATCCACCTGTCACTCCAGAATCCAAGGTGACCATGGAAGACAATGGCTCAGAGCGAAGGAGGCTGAGCATTTGCCGGCCCAAGTGAAGAGTCAGCACTTTGGGAAAAGCAGTTTCTAACTACTGGGTATAATCTCACGGGGCTGGCAGTGAGGTCTGAAAGGGTGGCACCTGGCATCAGCTGCCTGGTTCAGTACCTGCCAACATCTTCACCAGGGCCCCAGGTCAGCTCCGAGCCTCTCTGTGCCTCCATGTCCACATCTATAAAATGGGGACAGGTCCTAATGCTTCCCTCAGAAGAACGCAGCAAGGGTGAAACAGGACCACGGTGTCTGAAGATGGCCATGGACGCAACTCATTCAGTCCACTAAGGTTCTGAGATTTGAACTGGACTGAATTTCCAACTTTAAAATTCAAGAGGGGTTTCTTGGAGAAATGGAGGGAAAGGGTGAGAGTGGAGAGAGAGGAGAGAGAGAGAGAGTAAGAGAGAGGACAGAGAGGAAGGAAAGGCAAGGGAAAGGCAAGGCAGGCGATGAGGCTGAGCATGCAAAGGACAGGAAGGTTGGGCGGCAGCTCAGGGGGCAGACTCGTGTACAGCATGCGCAAGGCCCTTGCTTCCATTCCCCAGCACTGCAGACAAAAAAGAAGGAACAAACAGCCAACCCAAAGGGGCAAAATGATCAAATATGAAGCAATCTGAACAAAATAAATAGCGTAGTGTTGGATTACAATCAGGACAACAAAATAAACACAGCTGGCCTTCCACACCCTTGGGTCACAGCCCTGCAGGGTCCACCAACGATGGGTCACAAATGTTTGGAAAAGCCCGTGTCTGTACCATATGGGCTTTTTGTCCTTGTTCCCTAACCAACTCTTTACACTGAACTATGTCATATTAGGTCCTGCAGGTCATCTGGAGGCACGTGGGGTTCTATGCAAACACCACGCCACTTTGTACCAGGGGCTTGATCTTCCTCCGCAGATTCAGGTGACCGTGGGGGTCCTGGAACCTATCCCCGCTGAGGGATGGGCTGCACATACACATCTGATAGCCTGGATGGTCACACGGATATGGATGGGAAGTAAGAATGTCGCAGTGGAGAAGCCTGGTGAACACCCCCCACGCAGGCAAGGGAGTCCCCATCATGGTGATGCCATGGTGTACCCCACAGGTGGAGAGGAGAAGGCACCTCGCCTCTGGGCTCTTTCTGAAAACCCACAATCTAGTCTAACCATGAGAAAAACACCTGACAAAGCCAGATTGAGGGACCATCTATGAAACACCGTTCAAGGCAAGGAAAGCAAGGGGGGAGACGGAAAGTGTCCCAGACCAAGGAGACAGGACATCAGTGCCATGTGGCATCTGAGAGTGGGCCCTGGAACAGGAAGAGGGCATTGTGGGAAACCCTGAGAGAGGCCAAGCCTAGAGACGGGTTCCTTGTCTTAGTACACTGGTTGGTGGGACGTGCAAGCCATGGGAGAACCTGGGAACCCTGTGCTAGCTACAACTTCTCTGTAAATCTAAAACTGTTCCAAGATAAAATATGCGAATATGGTTAGGAAAACTTCAAGGGACCAAATCTGGACTTACAGCTTCTCAGCAGAGTTGTCAGCACCAGGCCTGAGCCCTGAATGTCCCAGGCTAGGCGACGACTCCAAAGGGCCAGAGCTACTGTCCACACGCCCCACCCCACTCTGGTACCTCTTCCCTGCTCCTTGGCTCCTGCCACATCCCACCTGGCCCCTGCAGGTACCTGCATTTGTGACCTGGGACAGGGAAAAATCCCTCAGAGTGCTTCCTTTCTTCCCCCAGAGAAGCCTTCCCTGGCAAGGACAATAGCCAGAGGTAACAGAGGGCAGATGGTCACTCGGCCCCAAGTCAGACCGCAGTGAATCAAGCCCAAGTCTTTCCTTCGTGTCTGTGTCTGAAGAATCAGACAGACAGGGGAAGGGAATGAGAACCAGGGCTTGGTCTTAGTGAAGGAAAGGTGTGGAGAGAAGACTCCAGAGCCCTCCCGCCCTCCTCAGAATCCAAAGGATTTGAAGAATCCCGGGGGCCGTCTGACATCCCTTCCCCCTTGCCTGGCATCGGCTTCTCCCTGTGTGGCAACCGCAGGCAGTAAGGCCCTGGGTGTACCTGCCAGAGGCAGCCTGCAGCCTGGGAAAGTGAGAAGTGCAGGAGGCAAGCCTGGGGGCTGAACGACCTCCAGACCTTTTTCAGGGCTCCCCCACAGGCTGGGAACAGTGAGAGGCACTAGAGTGTTGTTTAGCGTAGGTCCAGCAAGGGGCACATGAACCCAATAGAACACTCTGTGTCACGCAGCTGGGAAGAGGCCTGAGCAACAAGAGTGATTTCCTGTTCAGGCTGGGCTCACGGGTGATAAAAACCAAGGCTCCAGGAGACAAATGAGCCGGCCAAGGTCAAAGAGCTGGAGAGTGGGAGGCACAAGATAGCAATCCGGGTTGGTCAGAGGCCATCCCAACATCAGAGGTCTACAGACATGTTCTATCAGGCCCAGCCCGTGTTGGCCTGGCTTGATCTAACAACAAAACAAAAGCACAGGCTGGAGGAGTGAGTGGCTCAGGCAGTAGAGTGCCTGTCTAGCAAGCACAAAGCCCTGAGTTCAAACCCCAGTCCCACCAAAACAAACTAACAAACAAAGAAAAAAAGCACGCGCAAAAGAGAAGCCAAGAACTCAAATTCAGGATACACAACAGCCCACGTTCCACAGACAATGACCAGCTGGAGTTGGGGACAGGTGTCCCCTTCCATTGACCAGTCTCCACAGTGTCCCCAGCATGGAGCCCATGGCCTCCCAGTGCACTTTTCTTCCTACAGAGCCAGAAGAAGCCACATTTCTCTCCTCACATCCAACCCACTTCACATCGTCAGACAACAGGCACCTGAGTCTGCATGCGTGCCTCAGGCTGCTGTGAAAGGAGCAAAAATGAGGACTCGGTATCTGAGGGCCGCTGCCAGGAAGAACACACAGCCAGGTCCTTTAGCCAGGGGCCTGGCAGACCCTTCCCCGGCCTCTCCTCCCACCTCCCTGGAGCTTAAAAGTCTGGGCAGCAGGGACTGAGGTCATCACAGAGCAAAGCTGGCCGTCCAGGATGATGCAGTCCCAGGAAGGAGAGCCAAATGCACGTGACCAAGGTTGCACGCTCATGCCAAATGCAAGTGCTGGGTCAAGGCCAACAGGAAGTGTTCTCCATTTGTGTGAGCGAAGGTAGAGTCTGCTCCCTGGCAGAGGAGAGCCTGAGGCCTCTGGGGTTGCACAGGGCCTGGCCGAGCTGGCCAAGCCCCAGAAGGCACTGAGTTAGACAGCCTGACAAATTCAGTTACGTGGACATCATCAGTGTCCTGGCCCTCCAGGGCTCTGACAATGACATTAGTAGCTGCCATTTATTGCTCAGGGAACAAAAAGCAGACACCAATGCTTAGGAACAGTTTTTAATTTGAGTATAAATGACATAAGTGCCCAGGTCTTAAGTGGACAGCTCGATGACTTTGTACAGATGTTCACATCGGTGTAACTGTAACTCATACCTTTTTTTTTTTTGTGATTGGTTTTTTGAGATAGGGTCTCGCTAACTATTTCGCCCAGGCTGACTTTGAACCATGATCCTTTTGATCTCTGTCTCCTGAGTAGCTAGGATTACAGGCGTGAGCCTCTGCACCTGGCTTGTGTAGGAATCTTTGGGGGGACTGTTTTTGCTTCTCTTTGGCAATGACAGGATTACAGTTGCCAGGATGTTAGGGTAGCATGTTTAACTTCCTAAGAAACTGCCAAGGTGACTTCAGACGGGGCCGTACGTCTGCAGTTCTACAAGCAATAGAAAGTTCTGGTGCTTCTACATCCTGGCCAACATTTGCGACCTTGGAGGTTTTTAGAATTTGGTGTTCTCATGGATGGAGAGCACACTCCTCTGCTTCACCCGTCCCTCAATGGCTCTCTGTGGATGGGTAGCAACTGTAGTGGATGAAAGGAGGCCACAAGTTCTTTATGCTCCTCCCCCACACACAGGGGCTCCCACGTGCTCTCCCGGTGATTCTGGGGGGGCGCTTCGTGATTGCTTTGGCCAATAAATAGGACAGAAGTGACACTGTCCATTTGCATGTCCACGCCTCCAGAGACTCAATGATTACCACGTCCTGTGATGGCTATGTTGGGAGGAAGCCCAAGCCTGCACAGGGGAAAGGCTGTAGGGGGAGAGCCATGTCAAACCTGTCCCCAGCCACAGCAGCCAGCCCAGCCCGGGTCCCAGACAGGTGAGTGAAGGAGCCACAACCTGGGTGTGCCCACTCCTGCAAGTGCCGCAGGGCTCAAACAGCTGTCCCTGCTGTGCCCTGCTGCAGCCCGCACAATAACTTGGTGGTTGTTTTTCCAGCACTCAGTGTTAGGCCATGCTCTCATCGTCAGAACCATCGTCTCTCTTTTTCTGAGGAGAAAGTGTAGAGAGGGGACTGACATGCCCAAGGTCCCACAGTGACAGAATCTGAGTGTGGATTTCTACAGAAGGTCAAAGTAAATTGGGTGTCAGTGGCTCGCACCTGTAATCCTAGCTACTTGGGAGGCCGAGATCAGGAGGATCCAGATTAGAGGCCGGCCCTACATGGAAAAGGGCAGGTGCATAGCTCAAGTGGTAGAGTGCCTGCCTAGCAAGCATGAGGCCCAAAGGTCAAAAAAAAAAGGAAGGTCAAAGAACAGAGTAGTAAATTTCAGTCACAGATCACAGAGAAGGGTCAAGGACAAACTGGTGGAGGAATCAGTACATCAGACAGGAAACTGGACTTTGAGTTCTAAGTCTGATTTTAACAGAGAGGAAGTGACTTCCCTCAAACCATGCAGCACAGACCCTAGCCCAGTCAGACCTCTAAACTGCTGGATGGTGTTTCTGAAGGCCGAGATGGGTTCAGAGACAGTGAGAGGGTCACATGTGATATCACCTGTCCTCTGTAGGTCTCCACTCACCTGGAGCTTAGAATTTAAAACAGCTGTAAAGAGAAAAGAATGTACCACACTGGCTACCTCTCCTCAGCCAAGAAGCCTCCTGACACTCGGGCGCAGATGCACCAGGAAGCCAGGCCACACAGATGGCGTCACACAGTACATCAGTGTGGGAACTGCAGACTCACATACTTCCAGGGGCCAAGAAAGACTGCACACTTGTGAAGCAGGCTGGGCATGGCCCTTCAGAGCAGACACACTGGAATAGACTCCTTGCCTCAAGGACAGACAGATGCACCCGCCGTCCAGCTCTTGGAGCATGGGAGTCCCTTGGTCTGGTTTCATCTTTTTGCTTTCAGTACGGGCCAAAGCCCAGCATGATGGACTCCGTAATGGCACACGGTGGCCATAGAGCCAGGGCCCCCTACGGAGTGGCAGGGCTGTGACAAGCTGGAGCTGACACCTGCCATCTGTGGAGGGTGGTGGAGGGGTGGATGCCTGCCTGGCGGGAGGGAGCACATCGGGGGACCAGATCCCTGCTTCTCCCACAGGAGCCAGAAATCCAGAGTTGGGTGTGAAACCCTAAAAATATCAGCAGCTGATTTCCATTTGTCTACAGATGCCAGTGTATCTGCGGCCAGGACTGGGCTGGGGTCATCCAAGCAAGCACAGTCTCAGTAGCTAGATCTTTGCTTAGGGGCGGGGGTGTGGCTTAAGAGGCAGAGCTCCTGCCTCATGAACGTGAAGTCTTGAGTTCAAATGCCAGTACTGTGCAAAAAGAAAAAGATCTTTGCTTGGAGTCAGACGGCCCTGATGCTGCCTGCAATCTTGGCCCCCGGGGAAGGGCGCCATGGGCCCCTCCCACCTGTTCACCAGACTCTTGTCCCAAGCTTGCTCTTCTGTCATGGAAGGCACCATGGGCCAATTAGCACTTGAGGACCAAGGTGCCCCTGGTCCTCAGGGGAGGGGGGTGGGCACTTTCCACGTGATACCCACCACAGTGCCCCCAGACCCCCTACCTTGGTCCTGGCTGTTCCTTCCTCACCTGCTTCTCAAAGTGTTGCCCACTTCCCAGGCAGGACTGGTGGCTTCTGCTCTGGGGTCTTTTTGTGCCGTGAACACACACCCTCAAGACAGTGAGTGCTTCAGCACCAGCAGGGGACACTGCACCATACTGGTCTCCTCCACAGACCAGAGCCCGGGGCACAAAGATGGATCTGACCCTCAAACTTACCCAGGTCCTGGGCATGAGAGGGGGCCGTTTCTGGTGAGGAAGGATTAACCAGGCCTAAGTTAAAAGCTTTCTTGGTTACCTGGTCCCCACCTGGACGCACACTGTAGTCAAACACTGTCTCTCAAGAGTAAAGTCCACCATGGTCCTCTCGAAACCATTCCTGGGTTGCTCACTGCTGTGTCCCCAGAGGCGGGCCCAGGTAGGCTCCGAGTGTCTGTTGAGTGCACAGGGAGAACACCGTGCTTGACACAAAGTGAGGGCTCCCTAAACACCAGGCTGCTGTGACTGCTGCTGCTTGGGCTCTCAGACCCCTCTGGGGCTCTGGACCCTGTGCCCGGCAGGAACATAAGTCTCCACCCCAGGACCAGCCAGGCCGCCATCCTCTGCTGGGGAGAGGCAGGGCCTGGTCGCAACATGGAGCTCTACCCCTTAGGCCTACAGACAGAAGCCTCAAACCTGGTCTGCACTTAGTAAGTTTGGGATATTCTGGAAAATTCGATCATGGCTTCAAGAGGCCCCATGCCTGCCTGGCAACAATGCTGGGGTTGTGAGGGTCTGGAGGAGCTTTCTAGGGAACTCGAACCTTTTCTTCAGGGCCTAACGCATTGTCTCCATGTTCTTCCCCACCCATCCTAGGGGAGCTGATCCCCAACAAGCCAGGGTAGGAAGAAAAACTGAGAACGAGAGGATCCAGAAAGGAACTCATGCCCAAGCCCAGGGCCAGCTATGGCCCGGGCACCAGGCTCCTCCCACGCCTCGCAGGCCCCACGCCATTTCCTGGCCGCCTCCATGTTTGCAGGGCGAACTGCGCAGAGCTGAGGAGAGTTAAAGAGAGTTAAAATGCACTCCTGCATTGGTGCCCGAGAGTGCCACCTTGTGGTCCACTCCTGCTCCTCTGTGGAATGCAAAACCAACTGGGGGAAGGAGGAGATCAAGATGGCCGCCCCAGGAAGCACTGTGGGGAGGGAGGGATTGTATGTGTGTCTCCCCTCGCTGCTGGCCCATTCCTTCTGGTTGCTTAAATCACCACCAACATGGCTTCCCCAGAACACCAGTAAAGGCCGGGCCTGGAGTTGGGCCGGGCCTGAACCCCTGCCTCCCAGGCAGCCACACTCACCATGTCCGTGAGGCTGCAAAATTCTTCCAGCATGAGGAGGGTCCCCTCGATGGCCGCCTCCACCTCTCGAGCCTGCAAAGAGACACGGCCTGCAGCTCAGCAGTGGTTTCCAGGGAGACAAACACCCTCCATTTTTTTTTTTCAAGCAAACTTAATTAAGTCTTAGGCTTGTGGGCCCAGTTCCTTCTGGACCCCGTTCCCTTTCCAAGAACTCCCTAAAAATAGTGGTAACTGGAGCAATCTTGACACCTGTCCACAGAGGACTGGGTAAAGCCACCTGGGACCATCCACTTCACGCACCTTCAAAAGAGAGGGGATAATTAAATACTAGCAGGAAATAACAAAAGCTACCCTATCCTTCCAGGTATCTAGAGAGGAACATGAGGCTCAGAGAGGTGAGGTAACCTAGCCAAAGTCACACAGCTAACAAGGTAGTGGAGGGGAGGTAATGATTCTAAGGTAAGTCCCACAGCCTCAAAGCCTGTGCTTATAAACACAGAGACATGTCCCGAGAAACCACAGATAGGAAGAACAAACTGCAGAAGACATAGCAAGGAAACCTCTCTGTCACCAGGCACGAAAACGACCATCTAACAGAGAAGGCCTCAAATTGTATGGCCAATGGTCGTACTCATGTTAAAGGTGACACAGTGTTCAGAGGACCTGTGGACTCTCTCAGCCAGGCTTGCTTGGCCCTGGGGTAGACACTGGGGTGGGGGCTCTCCCAGGGAGACTGAGGGTTCACAGCTTGACAGTTACCAGGTCCAGGCAGCCACACAGAGGATCAAAGAGGCCATGGGAGAGCGGGGCTTGGTGGCAGAGCACAGGTGTACCAAGCGTGAGGCCCTGGGTTCCATCCAATAATAATAAAATAATCATGGCACTGAAAATTTCCTGATGGGCTGGGCTGTGGCTGAGAGGTAGAGGGCTGGCCTAACCTGTGGGAGGCAGGGGGCTCCATCCTCAGCACTGAAGAAAAAGAAAGGAAAGGAAAGAAAAAAAACAAAGAGCCACTGGGCTTGTGGGCAGCAGAAAGGTTCCTGAGTCTTGAGAAGTCACCAGCAGCCACTGGGAAACATGGGCCCTTCCATTTGTCAAGAGAAGCCAGAAATTCTAATTTTATGGGAAGCGTCCCAGTTTCTAAACGTTGGCATACATTAAAAAAAACAACCTTTAATGCTCCGATGGCATGGCCCTGGCAGCAGACAGCCCCTGCTTTGCCTGTTTGTGCAGAAATCAGTCTGGACTGTCCCCTCGAGCCTGTCCTCCTTTGTGACAAGAAGCCTGGCGTGGGCTGCTGTTACTCTAGCCACTAGGCCTGGAGGACTTTCTTGTTTTCCCAGATGCCAGCCCCTTGCTCTGGCTGTCCCCACGACCCTGGGGCAAGAGGCTGGAGTGGATGTTGCTGAGCGGGCCTGGATGCCCCCACACCTGGAGGCCCCCCGCCCCCCACTTGTCCCTCCCTCCCCCAGGTTCCTACAGCACCAGGTGGCTGCCTCCAGCGTGAGCCATCGCTACCACAACAAAATAAACCACTGTACAAGAATCGTCTTTCCTCTGGGGTATAAATAGTGCCGGTTGCAATTTTCAACTCTGGAACCTTCGGCTCACAGCTGCTTCTATTTCTGGGCCTCAAAAAGGAGGTTTGACAGGAGAAAGGGCTACAGCGCGGGGAAGGCTGGGAACATGGAAGAAGATCCTGCAGCCCCCCCAGGAGGAAGCTCGGGTAAAAGAGGTCACTTGTCACCATGATGCTAGGGAGAAGGATGGAGGATGCGGAGACCCCTGGGACAGACAACACAGACCCAGCCCCCACCCGGGGCCACCAAGGCCCCCAGCCCCAGCTGAACAGGAAGTCACCACACAGCATGCTTTGGAAAGCTCAGAAGGGACGTGGCACGGGGACTGAGTGTCAGTGGTAGAGTGTTGGCCTAGTGGGAGTGAGGGCACGGGTTCCATGCTCAGCACAGACAGGAAGGGGGAGAGAGAGAGTTCCATGTTCAAGTCCATCCTAGGTTCAGACCCCATCCTCTCTTCTGCCAGCCATGGGACCTTAACTCAGTGGCTTAACCTCCGCATTTCAGTGGCTCACTTGTGACAGGGGCCATTACACTCTGGTAGCAGGGTTGTCAGGAGGTCACCCTGACATCAGAAATCAAACAGCAGAGCATCGATGCATGACGGGACACAGCAGAGGACTCTTTGTGTCCCCCCCCATGATAAAAGTCATGGCTAATCCTTCCACTCTCACAAGAGCCTGCTGGGTGGGAGCTGTTATTTCCCTTTGTATGGACTGAGCACCCGATGATCAGAGAGGTTAAATCACTTGCTGAAGGTCACACAACTAATAAATACTGAAGCCAGAATGTGACCCTGAGCACTCTGGCCCCAGAGCTGAAATCTACAGTCATGAAAGATGCTTTTTTGTTGTTGTTGTTGTTACTGCTGCCTGTCATCTGTGGTCTCTCTCCCCCACCCTTCTCCTGAGACCTAGGGAGGTGCCGGACAGCAGGAAGGAGCAAAGAAAGCATTTACTGTCTGGCAAACTGAGGGAGGACCAAGGCTGACTGCCCCACAGGCCCACAAGTCATTCGTGGGACAACTTTCTCTCAACTTACTCCCTTAAGTGGCCTCAGAAGTGAGTCCCACCAGCCGGAGCAAAATGAAGGCCTCGCTGTTCTTTGCACCACCCTGGGCCTAAATTGTTCTAGTTTTCGAGGAAAGAAGTAAAAAGGCTCACTTAGGTGACATGGGGTGGCTGGGATAGATGGAGCATGGGCAGTTTTTACCAGGTGTGAATCCTGGCTTTTGCCTTCTTCCCTGTCCCCCTTCTCTCAAAGTGAGAGCCAAGCTTCCCAACTGGGCAGACAGAAAACCTGCCGAGGGGCTGTCCCTGCCCACCGAGAGACTGGCACACAGGGACGAAAGGATCCTCTGCCCACTGTCTTCTCCAACCCAACATAGGGAAACCTCTGTGGCGCTCAGGCCAGAGCTCAGTTCCCTTGACTCTTCTCTCTCTTTCACTGCGTACCCCACCCAACCTGTCAGCAAATCCCTGCAGTTCCAACCTCAGAACGCATCCAAACTCCTCCACCTCCTCTCACCACTCTGCCCAAGGCACCATCATCATTTGCTGGACTCTTGCAGTAGCCAGGTCCTCCACTTCCTGTTCTGCCCCCTTCAATCTGGGCTGGTGAGTGGCTCAAGTGGTAGAGCGCCTGCCTAGCAAGCACAAGGCCCTGAGTTCAAATCCCGGTGCTACCAAAATACAACAACGATAAAACCCCCTCTTTGGCTCAGAACCTTCCACAGGACCACTCCACACTCAACAGTGAGCGTGAGGGGTGGTGGCGATGTGAAGCGGTTGGAGCCTCGCACAGTGGCGGAGGGAACGTGAAATTGTGCAGTCCCTGGGGTAACTAGTCTGGCAGCAACACACAAGGGATACTGAGTTACCCTGTGACCAAGTGATATGCTCAGAAGAACTGAACAGGCACTCTTACAAAATGCACACGTTACTCATAATAGTAAAAAGTAGGAAGAAGTGCTCGGTGGTGCACACCTGTAATCCAGCACTCAGGAGCTGAGTGGCTCAGGTTTGGGTAGCTTGGAAAGTAGCACAGTGCTCAATGAGTACTCACTCTAGGCAAGAAAGGAAGGAGGAAGGGAGGAAGGGAAGAAAACCCAGGGAGGTGAGGAGGGAGAGCTACCGCCCAGGACAGCAGCACAGATGGCTCTGTTGCCTAACACTGCCTTTCATTTCCTTGTGCGGCTGAGGATGGAACAGAGGGCATGGGCGCTCGACGCTGAGCCACACCCAGCCGGTGTCTGGACTTCTCTGTGCTTCAGTTTCCCCATCTGGAAGAGGGGTGCCTCCTCTTTCTCCCTGGCTCGGTATGGGGGAGGCAGGGCCCCCCTCTGACTCAGGATGGAAACTGAGGAAGTCAGCTGAGGAGTCTCTCAGGGTCACCCCCCGGTGAGATTCACTCTCCATACAACATGTGATGTCATTTGGACCCTAGAGGGTCTCCAAGCACAGATAAACACAGAAGTCAGAACACAGAGGAAGTAAGTAGCCAGGCCAGCTTCCTGCTCTAGACAGACAGAGTTTACTTTTTCTCTAAGAAAACAGCGGCACAAACTCAGTAACAAACAGCAGCTGAAGATCAGCCTCCTGGTCAGAGGGATGGCAGGGAGGGGTGGGGACTGTGGCAAATTGGAGACCCCATGCCCCATCTAAAGAGGTAGTCCCCACTGGGCTCTAGTTTGAGCCAGGCAGGATGTATCCTACCTGTGGTGGTCCATACAAACAGTGGTGCAGGTGTTTACAATTTTAAAACAGCTGAAGCTTAACCAGGTGCTGGTGGCTCATACCTGTAATCCTAGCTATTCAGTGGGCAGAGATCAGGAGGATTATGGCTCAAAGCCAGCCTGGGCAAATAGTTCTCGAAAAAAACTCATTGTAAAAAAGGGATGGCAGAGAGGTTCGAGGTGTAGGCCCTGAGTTCAAACCTCAGCACCACACACACAAAAAAAAAAAGGTCAAAGCTAACATAATAACTTCAAAAATAATCACTACGATGGTGAAATAAACCTGTCTGGGGCTGAATGTGGCCTTGAAGGCTCTGGCCAATCTATGTCTTTAAAATACAAATGCTTGGAAGATGCAACACTAGAGACAGCAGCACACTGGGGGAGTGAGGCTTCAGGAGAGCAGTTTCTTTTGGGGACACAGGCAATGAAAATGTCATAAAATCTGATGGTTGCAGAAAATGTTCTCAAATCTATTACGGTGACTAGACAGAAAGCATTAAATTGTATACTTTAAACAGATACACGGGTGCATTTGCACACCCGCACACATACACACACCCCACTGAGAATTCTCTTAGAAACCACAATGGCTGGGCACTGGTGGCTCATGCCTGTAATCCTAGCTACTCAGGAGGCAGAGATCAGGAGGATCACGGTTCGAAGCCAGCCTGGGCAAATAATTCAAGAGACCCTATCTCGACAAAAACCTTCACACACACACAAATAAAAGGCTGCTAAAGTGGCTTAAGGTGAAGACC